TGTAACTACTGCCCAGATCAAGAAACAACACTGTGTCAGAAGCCCCCTCTCAGGTTCCCTTCCAGTCACTCCCCAGCCCCCCTTGGGCAACTACTAGTAAGCTCTATTCTGACCTGGAACACCATAGATGAATTTTCCTGGTTTTGAACCTGGTACAAATGGAAGTATACACTGTGTTCTTATTTTTTATTAAATTTTTTCTTTTATTTGTGATATAATTGACATACATTGTATTAATTTCAGGTGTACAACATCATGATTTGGTATTTTATATATTACAAAATGGTTACAATGGTAAGTTAACTGCCATCACTACACAGAGTTACAATTTTTTTCTTGTGATAAGAACTCTTAGAATCTACTCTTAACAACTTCTGTATATACCATACATCCGCGTTAACTATGGTCACTGTGCTGTCCATTATATCCCCAGAACTTACTTATCTTATAATTGGGAATTTGTACCTTTTGACCACCTCACACACACCATTCCCCACCCCACCTCTGGCAACACCAATCCTCTGGGCTCTTCTGTATGTTTGCAAAGCCCATCTGTATGGTTGGGACACCTGTGATCGCTCATTCATGGCTGGATAATATTCTCTGGGCACAGACCACGGTTCTCCTACTCTAACGTATGCCTTTCACTACTGCAGGGCACTTAGGTGGTTTCCATTTTCTGGCTCCTGTCCATGATGTTACAATATGTATTCCTGGGCAGGCCTGTCCGTGGACATAAGGACACACTTCTCTTGGGTGTATACTTGGGACTGGGACCTCCGGGCTCCCCATTAATCATGTGGGCAGCTTTATTCCACGCTGGACCGCTGTCCAAGGCCACAGTGTTCAGTCAGGAACACTTCTAGGGGCGCTTTGGTTCATTCCACCCATTTTCCCGAGACCTTGAGAAGGGGCAGTGCCTGTCCTTGCCCCACAGCTCCCAGATGGCAGAGCTCAGTCTAGACCTGGGGTTTCCACGCTCGGTGTCCAGAGTCTCTGCCCACGTGGAGGTGGTGCCCAGTGCGCCGCTCTGAGGAATTCTGGTCCTGGGCTCCGCCTCCGTCCTTCACCCCGAGGCAGGATTTGAGCTCCATATCCTTTTTGAAGGCCCTGGGCAGTGCACTCTGGGAAAAACAAAAAGGAGAAAAGAGTGAAAGGAAACCAAACATGAGAAAAGAAGCGTGTTTCCAATAAACCGGGCCTTTCACCGGTGGCCAAAACATTACATTCCTGGCCCCGGGAGCAGCCGGTCGGGTTTGCTTCTCTGGGTGTACATCTTGCTGGGTGTTGGGTCGGGACTCTCCTCTTGCATCATCCCCAGGACACACAGACAGGCATTGTCTTCTGGGGCTTCGGATCCCTGGACTTTGGGGTGGCATGCCCTTTTTTCAGCGGGCTGGCTCCGCCCCAGGGGGCACCTCTGACAGCAAGCTGCCGAGGCCCTTATGAGGGAGCAGTGTGTGAGTTACTGTAAGAGATTTTCTTCGCTTGCCCACCGCCTTCCTTTCTTGGGTGCTTTGATGGGTTTGAGGTGTTTATAGGCTTGATTCACAACGGAGTTACCAGGGTTTTCCACGGAAATAACTTATTAAAGGGGCCGTGCACACAGCGACATTGAAGTCTGGGGAGGGGTGCGCATCAAAGGCGGCCGGCGGCCCAGCCAGGCAGCGGTTCACTGGACTGGCACTCCAGACGAGGCCAGGAGGGGCAGGGAGGGGGCGGCCGGGGCTGCAGGAAAAACACTTGGGCTTAAGAAAACACTCCCCAGACAAACCCAAATTCAGGTCCATGGGAAAAAAAGGGGGAAAGTGAAAGCCCAGCATCCCAGGCCAGCCCTCTGCTGGAGCCTCCTGTCCAGATGTGGGGACACATGTGGGTGCCTGGCTGACGCATGGTGCCTGACTTTGTGCTGTCATGCCTAGCCCTTCCCTTGGCCCTGGGCTGTTCCTTGGGAGGAAATGCTGAGGCTGCGGGCTGCCTACTGCCTTTTGCCAGGGATGGGTGGGGAGCAGTTAGGGGTAGAAGGATTTTCTGATGCCCTGCCTTCCTGATAGCTCCTCTCCTTTGGTTTAATTACACCCGATTTGTCCTTTGGAGCTCATTAAAGCCTGCCTTTTCCAGGAAGCTGTCAGGAATTGCACAGTCCACAGTGGCTTCTCTCTCCTCTGAACTTTCAGTACTTTTCATCTCTCTACCACTCCCTTGCAGTGAGTTAACTGCCATTGAGTTTATTCGCTGTCCCCAACCAGACTGATCAGGGTCTGGGCCCACCTCTGCCCCTCAGGGAAACTGCTGTCCCTGGTGCCTGGCATTGCCCACCCTGTGCAGGAAGACATGGATTGGAACCTGCAACTCAGTCCAGGCTCTTTCACAGTAATAATGTCAAAAGCCGTAAAAGAAGTAAGCATAATGGCTAAAATTTGAGAGCAAAACATGTAGCGGACACTGTGTTTTTTATTCCTTAAGCCCATTCAGTCCCAATAAGGTAGGTTCTGTTAATTACCCCCATTTTTCAGATGAGAAAACTGAGTCTTAGAGAGGAGAAGTAATTTGCCCAGGGGCACCAAGCTAATAAGTGGCAAAGGTGGGGTTGACTCCAGAACTTGTGTCCCTTGACAGGTCACTTTACCTGTTTGGGCCTGAGTCCCCCTCACATTCTCTCAGTGAGTTTGCAGGCTGGTTGGAGAAACAAGACAAGTCCTCATGAGGCTGCATAAGGTTTGCTGTTTGTTGTTTGGTTTACTGAGATACAATCTACATACAGTAACACTTTTTGAAAGTGTATCATTCTGTGAATTTTGATAGTTATGTTACCATGATCACAATCAAGATAGAGAACATTTCCATTGCCCCAGAAAGCCCCTTGGTGCCCCTTTATGGTCAGCCCTTACCCCAACCTTTAGCTGCTGATAACTACCATCTGATTTCCATCTTGATGGTTTTGCCTTTTCTTGAATATCCTACAAGTGTAATCATACAGCAAGTAACTTATTTATTTTTTCAAATAGATGTTTATTGATTTCAGAGAGGAAGGGAGATGGGGAGAGAGATAGAAACATCAATGATGAGAAAGAATCATTGATTGGCTGCCTCCTGCATGCCCCACAATGGGGATGGAGCCCACAACTTGCATATGTGCCCTGACCAGGAATCGAACCGTGACCTCCAGGTTCATAGGTAGATGCTCAACCACTGAGCCACACTGGCTGGGCAGCAAGTAACTTTTATTATGCCCTTAAAAAACACCCCTCAGAATAATAATTTGAGGTATATCCATGTTGCATGGATGAATGTTTAGGTTATTTCCAGTGTTTTTGATTATAACCATTTATGTTTAGGTTTTTGAGTGAACATAAGTTTTGAATCACTTGAGTAAATACCTAGGAGTAGGATTGCTGTGTGTATGGTTAAAGGTATGCTTAACTTTATAAAAAACTGCCTAATGGTTTTCCAAAGCAATTGTACCATTTTGCAATCTCATCAGCAGTGTGTGAGAGTTCCAGTTACTCCATATTCTCACCAGCATTTGTTAAAAATATATTTTTTATTGTTGATAGTATTACAGATATCTCCCATTTCCCCCATCCCTCCCACCCCTCATTACCCCCTTACCAGCATTTGATATGGCCAGTTTATTTTTATTTGGGTTATTGTAATAGATGTGTAGTGGTATTTCATTGTGGTTTTAATTCACATTTTCCTGATGACTAATGAGGTTGAACATCTTTTCATATACTTACTTGCCAGCTGTACTGTACCTCTTTGGTGAAGTGTCTGTTTAGATCTTAGCACATTTTTTATATTGGGTTGCTTTCTTATTGAATTTTGAAAGTTCTTTACATATTCTGTCAGTCCTTTAAAAGATGTATTTTATAACTATTTTCTCCCAGTCCATGGTTTGTTTATCTTTTCATTTTCATAATGGAGACTTTTGAAGAACAGAAGTTTTTAAATTTTCTGAAGTCCAATTTATTCGTTGTTTCTTTTCATGCTTTTTGTGTTGTATGAAGACGTTGCCAAACCTAGGGTCACAAAGATTTTCTCCTAGCAATTTTATAGTTTTAGGTTTTATATTAAGGCTTATAATCATGTTGAGTTAATTTTTGTATATGAGATAAGGAGGTCCAATTGTTCTAGTACCATTTGTTGAAAAGACAACTCTGTTGAGTTATGTTGACCTCTTTGTCAAAAATTAATTGATCATTTGTGTTCTCTTTCTGGATTCTACTCTGTTTTATTGTCTATGTGTCCATCCTTTTACCAATACTGCACTATCTTGGTTACTGCAGGTTCACTCCATTAGCATGAGTCCTCTTTTTCAAAGTTGTTTTGGTTATTTCAGGCATTTTCATTTCCATATTAATTCTAGATTCAGCTGTTGATTTATACAAAAAAAGCCTGCTGGGATTTTGATTGGGTTTGCATTGAATCTATAGATCAGTTTGGGCAGAATTGACATCTTGACAATATTGAGTTTTCCAGTCAATGAATATGGTACAGGCTCTGTACATTTAGGTCTTTGATTTCTCTCATCAGATAATACAGATCTTGCACATTATTGTTACATTTATACCAGTGTAGTTCATGCTTCTTGGTAGTATTGTACATTGGAAAACATACTGTAGTTATTTAATTTTTGGATGCCTGGCATTTTAATGGCTCTGGTGCTTTGCCTCGGGTGCCATGTTTCCAGAGGAAGTTACAAAATGGAGAATTTTTTTCTCTTTGACGCTCAGAAACGTCACTTCTGCCTCCTGCCATTCCCTAAGATAGTCAAGCGTGAATTTATCCTACCGAGTCAGATGTGACATCTTGGGTGAGTTGCTTAAGGCTTTGGGTGTCAGTTTCCTGTCTGTACAATGAAGGCAATGGAGAGAAGTGGGTCAGATGACCTGGTGGTGAGGTCCCTTCCAGCTCTGAGCTTGATGTTCACATAAACTCCAGGCTGGGAGATTTAGAAGAGAGCTGAGTCTGTCTTAGGGAACCCTCTCATTTCACAGAACTGAGAGTGCACAACACTGGCCTGGGCTTGCACAGCAGCTGATGGGAGTACAGGACCCCTGGCTTGGACGGGGAAAGACAGCACAGCATGGTGAGTGGGAGGTGACCGCACTGCCACAGCCAGGAGGGAGGTGGGGAGGAGGGAGAGAGAGGCTGAGAGGCGGCCACCTGTGCCTGCTGCCAGAAAGCGGCTGGGAGCCGTGGCCTTAGGAGTGGCAGTTCACGTTGGCTGTTTTCAGAGTATAAGAGCCACTGTGCTCAGGGTTTTGGCTGACCTCACCCCCA